AGCCAGGATCCATCTGACGTCAGCAATGATATTCCTGGTTCCATGTCCTCTTCTGAATCTGGCTTCAATTTCTGGCAGTTCCCTGTCGACATACTGCTGCAGCTGCTTTTGAATGCTCTTCAGCAAAATTTTACTTGTGTGTAATATTAATGATATTGTGTGATAATTTCCTCACTCAGTTGAATCACCTTTTTTGGGAATAGGCATAAATATGATCTCTTCCAGTCAGTTGGCCAAATAGCTGTCTTCCAAATTTCTTGGCATAGACGAGTGAGCACTTCCAGGGCTGTATCCATTTGTTGAAACATCTCAATTGATATCCTATCAATTCATAGAGCTTTGCTTTTCACTAATGCCTTCAGTGCAGCTTGGGATCCTACCTTCAGTATCATTGGTTGCTGATCATATGCTACCTCTTGAAATGGTTGAACGTCAACAAATTCTTTTTGGTATAATGACTGTGTGTATTTCTTCCATCTTCTTTTGATGCTTCCTGTGTCATTTAATATTTTCCTTCACTATTGCAACTCGAGGCTTGATTTTTTTCTTCAGTTCTTTCAGCTTGAGAAATGCAGAGCATGTTCTTCCCTTTTGGTTTTCTATCTCCAGCTCTTTGCACATGTCATTATAATAATTTACTTTGTCTTCTCGAGCTGCCCTTTGAAATCTTCTGTTCAGTTCTTTTACTTCATCATTTCTTCCTTTTGCTTTAGCTACTCGACGTTCAAGAGTAAGTTTCGAGTCTCTTCTGACATCCATTTTGGTCTTTTCTTTCTTTCCTATCTTTTTAATGATCCTTGCTTTCTTCGTGTGTGATGTCCTTGATGTCATTCCACAACTCGTCTGGTCTTTGGTCATTAGTGTTTCACATGTCAAATCTATTCTTGAGATGGTCTCTAAATTCAGGTGGGATATACGGAAGGTCGTACTTTGGCTCTTGTGGACTTGTTCTAATTTTCTTCAGTTTCAACTTCAACTTGCATATGAGCAATTGATGGCCTTTTCTGTAGTCAGCCCCTAGCCTTGTTCTGACTGATGATATTGAGCTTTTCCATCATCTCTTTTATGATTCGTAGAATAAAAAATATCATGAATTCGGAGCTCTGTGGAGGAAAGATCTTGAGTTAGTTCAAAGTGTTCATAGTGGCAAAAGTTTTTGGACATGTTCAAGAAATTGCACACAAAACGGATCACATGTATTTACAAAATAGTATGCAGACAAAAAGTTAGGAAGAGGAATATATATTCTGCTTTGGGGCCTAGATATGGAAACATCATGCCTTCATGTTCTTATGAAAATGCAGGCTATGTCTTTGTGTCCCTACTGGGAAAAGCCGACTTGAAACTTCATACATTACGATAATAGGTAGATTCCATGTTGAAATGCACATCGAATTACTCTCGCTCTTATGTTCTTGCTCTTTCTTCATTTATCTTGCTCTTCATAAGTACAGATAAACTTGGCAAAGAGGAAACTGGCATCATTGGTGTGTGTTCGGTTAAACAGCTATAAACCTGTCACTGTCAGCCAATTCTGACTCATAGAGACCCCAGGTGTGTCAGAGTAGAACTGTGCTCTGTAGGGTTTTCAATGGCTGATATTTCAAAAGTAGATCGCCAGGCCTTTCTTCCAAGGTGCCTCTGGGTGGATTCGAGTTGCCAACTTTTCAGTTAGACGTTGAGCACTTAACCCTTTGTACAAACCAGGTACTCCTTAAACCTCTATAGCCAAAACAAAATTATATTAAATCACATGGCTAAGAAGCATCAGGCTATTCAATGCGGTACATTAATCACAAAACATTAGAAAACAAAACAAAACAAAAAAATACTGGTACTAAACTTTTGGCCCAAGGGGTCTGTGATATACATATTTTATTCAGGAGGAACAAATGAGCAGAAAAAGCAGAATATGGAAATTTCAGCTGGCCATATAAGTCATTCCAAGATAAGTAAGATTTTAATTTTTAATTAATTAAAAAAATTCTAAAATAATAGGATCATATTACACAACACTAGGAAAAACAAAAAACAAAAAGAAGAAAACATTTCTTTCAAAAAATTTTTTCAACATTTTTTTTGGCATAATTGTACTCATACGGTACAAGGTTCCAGCTCCTTTTTTTTTTTGCTTTGCGTCATCCTCATTCTTAGCACTTTTTAACAACCACATAATTGCTTATCTAATAATTTACTTAATTACTCCCCTAATGATAGACTTTAATTTCAAATTTATTATATGATGTAATTTTGATACAAATAGCTTATTACATAAATTTGCAGTCTATGTAGGTTTTAGTTTTTTGGCAAGTTCTAGATGTGCTCTTTCTGGCTCACAAGGTTATGATGTCTTTTATGACAGACAGCATTTTGTTCTTAGGTTAGTAAAATAGTCTCCATTTTACAGAGCCTAAAATAGCTTAATAGATTTTATGGTTGCATTACAACAATTCTGAATTTAATATCTACCTAATGGTTTTTTTCTTTAAAAAGTTTGAATTATTATACCTTCAAGGATAGTACAGAAATCAGTGGGTATCTACGCCATCAGGTAAACCACACGCCATTTGTGTAGAGAACTGTGTAATCTAAAAAACTCATCAGTTCCGGAAGGGTGCAGTTCTTTTGCTCTGCAGACATGTTACTGTACTGATGGTTGGGAAGAAAAAAAATGGGTCTCTGCCCAGGGTTTAGAAATACTTTCACTGAAGAAAAGTTTTTAAAAATTAAATAATAGCAAAATAAAACCACATTAGTAAATGGAGTCTAGATTATTTTGATTAGGAACTCATATGAAGGAAAGACCATGGGCCTTTGGAGTCAGAACTCTGCTACTTACCCCCTCTGTGACCCTGGGCAAGCATTTGACTCTTCTAAAACTCAGTTTTTCTTATAAAATGGAGGATAATACTGTGCTCACTAAAAATAAGACATTTACGCTTTTCTGCTCGCTCCTCTGCCCACTTTCCCTTGTGCCATCCCAGCACATGCTCACTCTGAGCTCTGAGCTCCAGGTTTGATCTTGAGCACATCTAGATGAGATGAGATGTTCTCCAACATTTACAAGATTTGGGAGATCGAGAAAGGCTATGCCTGGAGGTGAACGGGAAGATAAATCAGCAGGGCAGTTGGTAACTTTGATAACTCCTTCTTTAGTGGAAATGCCTCCACTAAACGCCCCAAGGGTGAAGGTACCGAAAGCATAGTAATCATTGGTCAACACCAAGTTATGAACCATCACTTGCAGAAAATCAGCTTCACAAAAGAAATTGACAAAAAAGTGCATCAAAGTTTACATGAAATCAATCAAAGGCAAACTTGAGAAGAGACACCAGAAACAGTAAAATCTTTTATGACGGGGGCTACAGAACAAATCAAGCACATCCTTGATAATTTCAAAAGCTAACAGTTCTTTATTGATGAAAACATGAATCCAGATGGTGTGGTGGCTCTGCTGGACTACTGTGAGGCTGGCGTGATCCCATATGGAATTTTCTTTAAGGATGGTATAGAAATGGAAAAATGCTAACAAATTCAGCAATTACTTTGGATCTATTACCTGTCATCCTAACTGGCTGCTGCCTTTCATCCACACAACACCAGGATTTAGGCAAATGGGACTGGTGTCATCTTGAGCTCTTCATTTATTTTGACCTTAATTAATTAATTATTTTCATTGTGCTTTGGATGAAGGTTTACGGGGCAAATCAGTTCCTCATTAAACAATTAATACACATATTGTTTTGTGACATTGGTTGCTAACCCTACCACGTGTCATATGTCAATACTCTCACCTTCTCGACCTTGGGTTCCCCATTTCCATTTGTTCAGCTTTTCTTATTTTGAACTTAATTTAATTGGAGAGGAAGCTTTTTTTTTTTTAAGGAAAAAATGTCATGTAGGTTGTCTAAAACTAAAATGCATTTAAACTCACACACAGACATACACACACACACACACACACACAATAAGGCATTTAGCAAAGTGCCTAGCACACAGTAAATGCCCAGTAAGTGACAATTTCTTCCTTCCCTCACTCATGGCACACATTGATAATGTAAAGAATATTTCAGGAAGAATATTTATAATATGTGAAAAGATTTCCATTTTAGTTCAATGGACTCTATGTATTATTTCTGCAAATTCCTGTGAGATTATGCTCATTTCAAAATAAAATGTTAGAAAAAAGTGCTAGAGACATGAGTTAGGAGTGAAGGGTTCAAATAGTTGGTTACTTCTGGTTAAGGTTCACTTAATGTTTTCCATCTCTCGGTTTTCTCACCTGAAGTGGAAAAGCCCAATTCCACAGGCCACTAGAGCACTTGTTCCATGAATGAACAACTTTGGCTCACCTTCCAGGGAGAACATCGTATCCACTGTGTTTTGAGCAATGGAATGTTAATGGGGGAGCAACTGACTTACGCTGGACCCGAAAGTCATGGAGCTGGGCCCGGACATCTTGGTAAGTCACCCTTTTGTTCTATTTGGGGTAAGGTATGTGAATTCCTGTGCCTTCAGACAGCTATTTAATGGGGACCCCAGTTTATATATTGTCATCTTAGGGATTCTAAGCATGCTCCCCAGGTTCTAAATCTCCTTCTCCTCCCCTCCTAAAACCCCTGCTTCTTACATGTTTTGTCACTCTGGAGCTGCATATTGTATATTCTTGGAAGAGGGTTGACTATACTTAGGATGATTTGAATTTGCAGTGACTACTCTGGGAAACTGGGTTCCCATTTGCTTTGTCTTTTTTCATATTTGTTTACTGTCCTTCGTGTTACTTGTTTTGTGTTGTGCTGCCTAAAAGTGTTGCTTGTAATAAGTAGGAGAATCATAGGGTAGAACACAGGCATAGGCCCTATACGCTGGTTGTTCTAGCTGGCCTTACAGACTGGTAAGTTTGTGATTCTCACTGGACTGGCATCCACTTGGACAAAGTTGCTGTGAGTCATCTGTAAAACCAGATGAGGTTCTTCTTCTGTCTGGATTTTTGGTCCCGAGAGCTTGGCTTTCGTCCAGAGAGAGTGTTGGTTTTCCACCTGCCAGGGGTACAGCTGTCAGGTTTGTGTTCTGAAGCGGCCAGCCATTAGATTGGGGGCCCAAGAACCTTTACAGCCACATAGATCTGTGTTCAAATTTTTGCTGGGTTGACACCTTAATAGCTGTGAGACTGTTGATGCTCTCAGTGAGGATTTCTGACTTTCAGTTAATCCTCACAGAGTTTGTAAAGAAAAAACTGAAGTAACTTTTTAATTTATCTATTGCTGCACAACAAGTAACCCCAAACTTAGTGATTTAAAAAGCATCAGTTTATTATTTGTCATGATTCTGTGGTTTGACTCGGAGGTTCCGAGGGTTTGCTAAAGTCTCCAAGTGATCTTTCTTCCCAGGATCATGGTCTCAGGGTACTTTTAAGGCTGAAGCTGCAAGGCCACTTGAGATCTAGACGCGGGAACATAAACGATGTCACTTTTGCCACATTCTATTGGCCACACCACATTTCTGGTTTTGGAGAAGAATACTGAACGTACCATGGACTGCCAGAAGAATGAACAAATCCATCTTGGAAGAAGTATAGCCAGGATGCTCCTTACAAGCGAGGATGGCAAGACTTTGTCTTGCTTACTTTGGACATGTCATAAGGAAAGACTAACAGCTAGAAAAGGACATAATGTTTTGTAAAGTAGAGGGTCAGTGAAAATGAGGGAAACCCTCCATGAAATGGACTGACATGGTGGCTGCAACAATGGGCTCAAACACACCAAAGATTGTGAGGACAATGCAGGATGGAGTAATGTTTCGTTTTGTTATACATAAGGTCGCCATGAATTGGAGCTGACTTGAGGCAACTAAAAAAAACAACACTGGCCACAAGATCAACCCAGATTCAACCCAGAAGAGACTCTGCCTCTGGGTGGGAGAGGCTTTGTAAAGTCACAAAGTGGTGTGTCTACTGGGATGGAAATAATTTTTGGTCATTAAACAACCTACTGTACAGACTTTGTTTTAGAAGACCATATCTATCAGCATGCCTGGCAGTCTACAGAGGTAGTCAACCAATTTTAATATCCTGTCTTTCTTGCCTTCAAGGATCATTCAAAGTTAAATGTGAAGGAGCTTAGCTTGGTTTCAATGTTGTAATGCTCTCTTTTAAAAGGCTACCCACAGCTGCCTGAAGCTACTAATGTAGGCTTGTGTGACAATCGCATGTAACAAAATGCCCAGTTAAATTAGAATTCCAGACAAACAATGGATAATTTTTTAGTATTAAGCATGTCTTCTACCTTTAACAGTATCATGCTATTCTTCTAGACATTTCCTGTGCGTATTTATATATCAAATTAAAAATAATTGGAATTAGATTTACTTCTACTAGTTGCTATTTTCTCTTTCCAGTCTGCACATATAGACCTAACCCATTCTTTTAAAAGCTGTATGATGTTTCATGGAATGAACACACCACAGTTTACTTTCTTAACCATCCGTTGATGGCTGTTTGGATTATTAGCAATTTATCTTCATTATAAAGGGCCCTAAAACAAATATCCTTACACACATATATATCTTGGAGGATTTTTATCTTAAACACAAATAAAGAAATGCTCTGATTTTGTCATGCATAAACTTGTTTAGTTTGTTGCAAGGTAGTTTATTGCAAGGCAAGGTACACAAGTAAGACCTCAAGATAATCATTTAGCACTGGAGAATCAGGATTAACAGTTACAATGTTAGTTCAATGATTAGCATCCAAATCTTTTCACTTCAGGCTTTTACCTGTAATGAGTGGTGTTGAGAGGAAGGCTTGACCACCGCTAGAACTCGGAGAAGGTCTCCATAGCTTCTGAGGTCCACTGTGGCAGGCAGTATCTCAGTCTTTGTCTTGGCTCTCTTTGGAGAGAGTTGAAGACTAAAGAGAGAACTTTTGCTGCTACCTTAAACCCTGGTGGTGTAGTGGTTAAGAGCTGTGGCTGCTAACCAAAATGTCGGCAGTTCAAACCCACCAGCTGCTCCTTAGAAACCCTATGGGTCAGTTCTACTCTGTCCTATAGGATTCCTGTGAGTTGGAATGGACCCGATGCCAGCGGGTTTGGTTGGTTTTTGGTCTCTCAGTGAGTGAGCAGAAATTCAGGGTTTATATGGAATTTTCTCACCTTGGCTTCACATGATAAGGGCCATGTGATGTGATGCTTAATTAAGACTGTTGATGTTGTTGTGTGCCGTCAAGTTGATTCTGACTCACATCAGTCCTACATGACAGAGTAGAACTGCCTCATAGGGTTTCCTGGGTTGTAATCTTTATGGAAGTGGAAGCAAATCACCAGGTCTTTTCTCCTGTGGAGCGGCTGGTGGGTTCAAACTACTGACTTTTCTGTTGGCAGCCAAGTGCTACACCATTGCACCACCAGGGCTCCTTAACAAACACTAGTGTATTACGTTGTTTCTTCAAGGTGGCCAGATGGTGTGTTTCATCTTTCTTCAAGATTGGAGATTAAGGAGGTTGTTTATGATTTACTGAAGTCTCTAGGTCACTTTACAGGAATTTAGCTGTATACTACATTTTATTTTATCACAGTATGCAGGTACAAGGCTATCTCAGAAGGGTTGCTTACTACAAACCTCACATACTTCTATGTTTCTATTTCTAAATTCAGAAATTCTCTACTTCTAATGTAACATTATAAGTGACTTATACATATAGGGTTACAGGAAGTGTACACGACAATCATGTGACTTCAGAGCATTAGAGTCATATGTAATTTGAGAACATTAGAACATCACACCTAACAATATTTTTTTGTGTATTTATGAAGTATAAAGTCCTAGGACTAGAACTGTGATGTCAAAGGATATGCCATGAATCTATATTGCTAAAATGCCTTTAAAAAGCATACCATTTAAAACGCCTATCAAAAATTTTTGAGGGTTCCTATTTCTCCACCTTGCTGAACATGAATATTTTAATTATTACTTATAGGACAAGAGAAATCTCTACTTTCAGAGCACACACACAAAAAAAATTGGGAGCATACTTGCATAGAAGAGCTAAGTAAGAGGAATAATATTCAGGAAGCAGAAGAAAATATATCATTTCCTTTTAAAAGGAAATTTAATTTGCAGCAGTTTAGGAGAATGAATGGATTTAATTCCATGCATAATGTTTTCAGCTTGGGTAGGAGAGTCTGTGCCATGAACTGAATTGTGTCCCCCCCAAATATGTGTCAACTTGGTTAGGCCATGATTCCCAATATTGTGTGCTTGTCCTCCATTTGGTGATTTTCCTATGTGTTATAAATCATAATCTCTGCCTGTGGTTAAAGAGGATCAGGGTGGGATGTAACACCCTTGCTCAGGTCACAACCCTGATCCAATGTAAAGGAAGTTTCCCTGGGGTGTGACCTGTACCACCTTTTATCTTACAAAATATCTTAGTTATCTAGTGCTGCTATAACAGAAATACTACAAGTGGATGGCTTTAACAAAGAGAAATTTATTTTCTCACAGTTGAGTAGGCTAGAAGTCCAAGTTTAGGGTAACTGCTCCAGGTGAAGGCTTTCTCTTTCTGTCAGCTCTGGAGGAAGGTCCTTCTCATCAATCTTCTCCTGGACTAGGAGCTTCTCTGGGTCCAAAGGACACGATCTGCTCCTGGTGCTTCTTTCCTGGTGGTATGAGGTCCCCAACTCTCTGCAAGCAAGCTTCCCTTTCCTTTTATCTCTCTCTCTCTGTTTTGTTTTTTTTTTTGTGTGTGTGGCAGTCTGCTTCCATAACAGCTTTGGAAACGCTATAGGGCAGTTCTACTCTGTCCTGAAGAGTTGCTCTGAGTCAGAATTGACTCAACGGCAACGGGTTTGTGTGCTGCTAAACTCTTTAAATATAATAACTCATGAAATTCATGTAACAACCCTCTGAGATGTGTTATTATTCTTTTTTTAATTGTACTTTAGATGAAGGTTTACAGAATAAACTAGCTTCTTATTAAATAGTTAGTACACGTATTGTTTTATGACACTGGTTAACAACCCCACAAGTCAACACTCTCCCTTCTCAACCTTGGGTTCCCTATTACTAGCTTTCTTGATCCCTCCTGCCTTCCAGTCATTTCCCCTGGGCTGTTGTGCCCCTTTAGTCTCGTTTTGTTTTATGGGCCTGTCTAATCTTTGGCTGACAGGTGAACCTCAGGAGTGACTTCGTTCCTGAGCCAGAAGTGTGTTCGGGGTGCCATACTATTAGGTTTGTCCAGTCTCTGTCAGGCCAGTAAGTCTGGGTTAGAATTTTGTTCTACGTTTTTCTCCAGCTCTGTCTGGGACCCTCTGTTGTGATCCCTGTCAGAGCAGTCAATGGTGATAGCTGGGCACCATCTAATTGTACTGGACTCAGACTGGTGGAGGCCATGGTAGTTGTGGTCTATTGGTCCTTTGGACTAATTTTTCCCTTGTATCTTTAGTTTTCTTCTTTCTCCAAAGG